TGCGGCTTTCGAGTAATCTTCTTCTTCGTCTGCTTGGGCTGGAAGTTCTCTTGTCTTCGACTTGGGCTGGAAGGATTTCTTGCCGCAACTCAGCCGCAACTCTCTGTCGTCCGAGGTGATCTCTTCTCGCTGCCGTCCGGGGCTGAACTCTGCCGTAACTCTGCCACAACTCTTGGCGTCCTTCGGGCAATCTCCTTCTTCGTCTGCTTGGGCTGGAAGTTCTCTTGTCTTCGACTTGGGTGGAAGGATTTCTTGTCTGAGGATTCTCTTGCCCGCAAAGGGGCGAGTGAATCGGGCCCGATGCCCGCGTTCAGGCTCTTTCCCTGCCCGCGGTCCAGCTGCAACTCAACTCCAACTGATTTCTGTCGACTGGGGTCCTGCTTTTATTGACGCCGCAACAAACTGGGGTGGGTCTGTCGGCGTCAGGGTTTTCTCAATAACTCCAAAAGTCGCATTATTTTTGATTTCCATTATCGCTATTGTTTTCACCCCTACTTCCTCACAGTGCCCTTTGGGGAGGTGCACACCCATCTCTCTTAGTCTCTCGTATGTCAGGTGACCGTTTTCGACCAATGGTTCCTGATCGGGCATTTCTTTCTCTTCTTTTCTGCAGATCACGTGACCGTTTCCGACCAATTGTTATTGATCGAGCATCCTTTCTCCTCCTTTCGGGCGGGGTTACATCGTTCTTGTTTTTAAAAAACAAAATCCAATTTTGCCTTTTCTGCACGTACGAAAAATGAGAATCTTGGCTTTCTCTCACCTGGGCTCTGTCAAACAGCCCGCCGCTAATTAGATGTGACTTCAGGGAAGAATATTGGCGCTATCTGTGAACTGAGACAATCGTCCCTTCACCTCCGTCCTTGTCAGACCCGACAGTCAGAAAATCTTAATTATCTACATTGAAAATGTTCCCACTTTTATTATCGTAGGTTTCTAATTCTTAATAGGTCAGGATCTGTATATAGTTCCACCGGTCCTCCCCTCAACCCAAAAAGACACTTTTTCTCCGATTAAAAAAATTTCGTTTCTATTGTTCTAAAAAATTTCCTTTTACTCCAAATTGATAATGAGTCTTTCTGCGCAAAAAGTAGGTCAGATGTTTTGACCGATATCTGGTTTTCATCAAGCGGCCCGTTTTGATATCATGTCTTTTCCTTTTCTTTCTTCTTATTATTTCTAATTCTATTCTTCCAATTGTCTTTAAAAATTCGGCCACACGCAGGCCAAGATATCTTTCTGACTCGTGTTTTTTGTTAATGACCGCTTTTTTGTATTTCGACCTCTCTCTTTTTGCTTTTTCTTTTTCTTCCTCTTCTTCCCTTAGGATCGTCTAAGTACAATCTTAGTGAATTATTTTCAACTCAATTATTTTCCGTTTTAAAAAAAAATCAACAACCTGTTTAGTAAACCGAGTAAGAAAAAATTAAATCATATTTCTATGAATATTTCTAATAATGCAAGGTGCCACACTTGTTCATAGTTAATATTGTTAAGAGTTGGCTTTTTCTTTTTTATTATTAAAGCTTCCATTATTTTTAATCTTTTTTACAAGTGGATGAAGTTATTTTATCTGTGTTTTCTACTAGTATGTTTCTAATGGAGTCTGATAAGTTTGTATGTGTGTTTAAATGGGTTCTAATGGAGCTGTGGTCAGATAGGTGTAACGTAAGATGTCTGGATAAGCATGTGGTTGTGTAACCGATGTAATTATTTCTGAGTCCGGTTTGATCAAGAACACAGTTCCTTAAGGGGCATTTGAACTCATAGATAATGTTCGTTCTTTGTAATTTTGACTTAGCTGGTGTGTTGTTATTTTTTGAGGATAAGGTTGGCTGTCTTAAATTTTTTATAATAGATAATTAATTTGATTTTTTTCATTCGGGTCAATTGGGCTAGTGTATTTCTTTATAATATGTCTTAGTGAAGATTCGTCTTGATTTTAATTAATGTGCATTTGGTTTTTGTAATAAATGTTTATGTAATTTTTGACTGTGTGTTCGCTATCGTTATTACTTGCTTTGGGGAGAAATAGTCTAATTTGGTGGTCTATAAGGTGGTTAGGGAAGCCGTTGTTGATTAGTGTTTGTTTTACATTATTGAGTTCTTTAAGGAAGAGTAGTCGAGGGATGAATTCTGGCGTGCTCTTTTATATATATATATATATATATATATGAAAAGAGCACACCAGAATTCATCCTCTAATTAATTTTATATATATATATATATATATATATATATATATATATATATATATATATATAAAATTAGTAAGTCAATCAATTCCGTTATCTTGGTTTCAAACTGTCGGTATGTTCAGGCGATTTCGCTCAATTGATTTCCTAAAATCAATTAACCAAAGTTAGGTAATCAATTGACCAAAATCGCCTGAAGTTGCCGAAGGTTTGAAATCAACGTAGCGTATTCAACTGATTTCCTAATTTTCTATACTTAAAATCACTACATGTTAAATTTTTATCTTTTTAAAAGTTCTCCTATGGTGAGTGATCAGAGGGCGAAAGACCCTGCACATGTATAGAGGAACTGCTCTTGAAGTATCCTCCATGCGGTGCTTTGAGATGTATGGCATGTTAGGCCCACTTGACGTGTGCTGATACCTGGATCGTCTCCGGCAGCGGGTAAAACGTGATCAGACGTACGAGCGGATCTCAGTCTTCCTCCATAGTTTGTGATGCCATGGATCCTGTCTCATCAACGAGACAACAAACAGCAGTAAAGGTTGGATGACTCGGCTGTCTTTGGTTTGGAAACGCAACCTGATACAGCCGTGATGTCTGGTGTCCATTACCATTCGCGCGGCCGTATGTAAATATTCTCTGCCTGCTCACGATATGAATATCCTCCTCTTGTTAGACGGAACACTTCTCAGTTAACTCAGCCACAACTGCACACGAATGACAAATATAACCTAGTCTACATGGCAACACAGCGCCATCTTTCTTTAAACATAATAACTAAAAAAACGAAGGATTTGCAGACATTTACATTTGCATACATATAGACATTTTGTCCTTGTTTTGGTGTGAGGAACCCATCCCAAAGTTTGTAAAAGTATTTTGATACACCCTATATATATATATATATATATATATATATATATATACATTTTCACACACACACACACACACACACACACACACATATATATATATATATATATATATATATATGTATATATATATTGTGTCCAGCATGAAACAGCCTGTCGCCTCTCAGTGTTGACTTCAATGTACACTTTCCCATAGATATACCACAGCTTAAAACTATATTTCTTCATTATATATATATATACACACACACACACACACACACACACATATATATGTGTGTGTGTGTGTGTGTGTGTAATGAAGAAATATAGTTTTTAAGCTATGGTATATTTATGGGATAATGGAATATTTTTTAAGTTTTTTATTTTATATATATATATATATATATATATATATATATATATATATATATATATATATAGGTACTAAAGGCCCACATGCAGATAGAAAAATGATAATGCATACGTTGCAGACTTACATTGATTCTATACGTTTTGGCTTTGGCTCTCACTGTTTGAAAGCCAATAAGACATTTTGTTATATGAAATCTGTAAGTAGATTTCTTATGAGTTGCCCAGGGAGAACACTCATTCGCCGACCAACTTATGGCAGAATTTAAATAACATTGGTAAAGTTTCACACTGCAGATGCGAATGATTCTGCCAAACTCATATCCTTGAGCACTTGAACACAATGAAGAAGATACCAGAGAATTAGTTCCCAGAGTTCCACAAGACGAACTCACTTCTTTCTCTGCTTAATGAACAAGAGACGAACCAATGAATTAACAATACAGGTCCAATCACAATGGAGGCCCGCACTAAAAAATGAGACGCCTTACTTTGAGTATCATTGGGGACTCAAGTTCACTCCTGACCTCAAGTGGGATTTCTACATATGAAAACTATCGTTAAAGACGCTGAGAAAATGGCCAGGTTCTTTATACTGCTGTAGAAAGTACGTCATCCCACTTGCCATTGCTCTATCTTTACAAGAATGAAACTAAAGATGGAGTATTGCTGACATATCTGGGCTTGAGTTGTCCAAATCCTATCTCTCCAGCATTGACAGAGTTGAAAAGTGGGCGATGGGTTATTTTCCACCCTACAACCTCTTTCCCGCAGACGAAAAGTTGTCAGCCTCTGTCGCTATCCTGTTGCTATTTCCATAGAAAATGTTCTGATCAGTTAAATTCCCTTGACCCATTTGTTCAGACATTTACAACTAAGACCTTCCATGGCATGTACACAGAGGCGAACCATCCTCATTCCTTTCGTGGTAAGAAAGGAGTTCCATTTAGACAGTTTTTTTCCAAGAGCTCCTACATTATAAAACATACTCCCGAGAGGATGCTTTCCCGAACACAACAATCTTAAACTTTTCATGTCTAAAATCAACCATTTACATACCTTATCTTTACTTACAATCTTCACTTACTTCCCCATTACGTAAGACAATCCCATTTAGTAACCCTCTACCTTGAGTGACTCTTGGGCTTTGTATTAAGTGAACATTTCCAAACTGACAATTTTGTAAGTGATTCCTATTTATATTATTAATCTCTCCGGAATTTCTTGACAAAGATTTATCGTTAGATTAAAACCAAAAAAAAAATGTCGTTATTATTTTTTTATATTATGAAAGATGTTTAGTCACCTCGCGAACTTTTTACCTGACACCATTACCTTCACTTCCGGTCACAATCTTTCTTTCCCATTCCCATTTTCCTCATTATCTCCTTTTGCTACGTTCATCTTCATAATCTGAGAGCGAGTCGGTCAATGGAGTCGGGTATCTTAGAAGAATTCCTTGATCAATCAACAGATTGACGCCTGATTTGTAATTGTCGACGCCCGATGCGATGAAGCGTGGAATAAGTGTGAAACTCTGGAGGTGAACAGAGGTTGGTAGGCAGTGCGCATGCGTATACTAATTCTCCTTCCTCTGCTCGGCTGACATATTTACTTTGAAAGAGAAAATGGCGACCATAAGTTGAACAGGAGAAAGAAAGAAAGAAAGAAAGAAAGAAAGAAAGAAAGAAAGAACAGCGCTGCTAGAGGAATAATTATTGAGGAAAAAAAGGTGAAAAGCTGTGAAAGAGTGAATAATAAAAAATATGGAGGAAAGAATGAAGAAATGAAGGAAGGAGTGAGAAATGAGAGACAGAGTCAAAATAAAAAAAATTAAAAAGAACACGTAAGAGGATGATAGAAAAATGTGTGGCTGAGAGAGGAAAAGGGAATAAGAGAGAGTAGGGTATATGAAGAGTAAAACGTATTACAGGGAGGGGAAAAGATGGCCAAAGAGAGTGAGTGAAAATGAGAAAGAAAAATAGAGAAAATAAAGAAAAATAGAGAAGATAGAGTTTATGAAAAGAAAGAAAGAAAAGATAAAGAAAGAAAGAAAGAAAGAAAGAAAGGAAGGAAGGAAGGAAGGAAGGAAGGAAGGAAGGAAGGAAGGAAGGAAGGAAGGGGAGGAAAGAAGAAGGAAAGGAAGGAATGAAGGAAGGAAGGAATGAAGGAATGAAAGAAGGAAAGGGAAGGAAGGAAGGAAGGAAGGAAGGAAGGAAGGAAGGAAAGAAGGAAAGGAAGGAAGGAAGGAAGGAAGGAAGGAAGGAAGGAAGGAAGGAAGGAAAAAAGAAGGAAGGAAGGAAAGGTAGGAAGGAAGGAAGAAAGGAAGGGAAGGAAAGAAGGAAGGAAGGAAGGAAGGAATGAAGGAAGGAAAGGTAGGAAGGAAGGAAAAAATCAAGGAAGGAAGGAAAAAAGGAACGTAAAAAGAAAAAGAGAAAACAAGAAAAAGAGTCTGTGAATTGAAAGAAAGGAAAAAAGAAAGGATTAAAAGTGTCTATGAGTGGAAAGAAAAAGAAAGAATGAAAAAATGAAACATGAAAAAGAAATAAAGAAGAAAACAAGAAATGGCGGGAAAGAATTTAGAAGAAAAAGAAGGAGCGAGTTAAAAACGAGAAAATCAGAACAAAATGGAACAAAAAAAAAAAGAACCAAACGACAAAAACGAAAAAAAAAAAAACAAAGAAAGAAACGCGGGAGTGGTAGAAAGCCTAATTTAGAATAATATCCATTGTGAATCGCTTATGAGATGTGCCCTTCAGCTTATGCAGAGAGAAATATCCTAGGATTTAAAGAATAGAATATCTGAAAAGATAGATAGATAAACAGTCTGAGATAGATAGATAGATAGATAGATAGATAGATAGATAGATAGATAGATAGATAAGAGTCGACATATTGATATAGAGATATCAACAGAGGTAGAAAGCTGACAACAGACTAGATAGAAAGGGAGAACTAGACAGAAAGAGGGAGAGAGAGAGAGAGAGATTGGCACAAAGCGATTGACATTGAAAGACCGACAGATAGATAGATAGATTGATAGATAGATAGAGAGAGATTAATAGATATAGATAAATAGTTCGATTAAGAAATTGAAAGAAAGAAATAGGAAAGGAGAAAGAAAAATCGATTTTCTAATCGATCGTCTTCAAGTCAGTTTCTCCCCTGATAATTTCCCTGATGCAAAACTCTTTTCAAACACGACGTAACATTCGCTACTTCGCTTCTAGTTGGCTTCTTTCTCACTTCCTTTCTGTCACTTCCGTTGGCGTTTACCACTGTGCTTCCTTGGCTTGAACGGATATTTGATACAAATGAAGTATTTTACAAGTATAAAATTGCTTCAAGCTTGTTTACCTTTTGCTGAAATGTAAAGTTTTGAGATAAAGTATTTTTATTTATCGAATTATTTAAAAGGCGATCCTCCTCGCTACCAAGATGAGGATTTTCGCACAAGAAATGAAAGATTTTTCTTCTCCGCGCAAGTGAAAAGATTTGGAAGAAACATGTCTGCCACTCTCTACTTTCCAAAACTAAGCCTTGTTGTTTTCAACATCTGAGTCTGTTCGGTGGCTAAAACAATATCGATTTTATCTCTAGTGCTTTTAGTCGATGAATTTATTTTTGCTTTTTTGATTTTCAAGTTAGTCTCATGTATCCTGCAAAAACTGACGGTACACAATCTTTGTATCAGTTTTTCTGTCATCTCAAACAGTTACATGCAAGTAAAATTATCGTAGTTTTAAATATTTATCGATGCTATGTAAACTTGTAACATTTTAAAAATACGTTCATATACTTGTAAAACTTGCATATCTTTATTGCATTTTGTGTTTCATTTAAAAAATCATATTTATGCACCATGTATGCATGCAAAAAATGAATTAATGAGAGTGGCAAATAGATTATTATCTTCCTTTGATATATAGTAACATAATACCACAGTATTCAAACAACAGCGCCGAATTGAAAACCCCCTCCTCTTTCTTACCGTCCCACAACGACATGTCAGAACTTGAAGTATGTATTGCTATCCACACGCTCACTTCGCAACAGAATGTGACACAAGGTCAAGGTCTAATGCGAAAAGCCGTCAAAAATTACACCAGACCCCTCGGCACTTCCTCTTTGGTGACCCCTCAAATACCGGGTAATTACTCCAGCCTTCAGCCGAAGGGGAGGTACCGCTTGGTGGGGGATGGACTCCCGGGGTTTGTGGTAATATCCATTTCAAACTACTACGTTTAGTGGACAGAACAAAATTTGAAGTAAGGGAGGGACTGTTATTTCATAATAATTATTTCTCTCTTCTGAACATATACATATATACACACACTCACTCACTCACTCACTCACTCACTCACTCACTCACTCACTCACACAAGCAGATATACACATACACGCTCGTGTGCACGCACGCACACACTGTCTCTCTCTCCCCCTCTCTCTTTCTCACTCATACGCACTTTGATGTCAGTGGTAGCAAAAAGGGTCTATTTTGTTACATTTTGTTCATGTTTTATTTTGGGCGTTCCTAGAACACGGTTGTTCGTTTTATTGAGGACACGTCTTTTAATAGCTCTAACTTTTTGCTAACTTGTTCTGATTATTTCTTTGCAGCATATCTTCAGATAAATGAGGGTTAAAATCAAGCTAACTCTATAAGGCACGCTGTTATCGTAATTTAGTTCGAAAATAGCTGGAAGTCGCCGACGAGGATTTTGCAGCAGTAGCCAGACATAAATCGACTGCTATAAGATCCTAATACAACCAGAACACCCACATTTGCATGAAAAATGTAGAAATCTGTCGATAAAAACTCCAGAAAGTCAATTAACGCCGTTGTTAATGAGCTCAAATTTCCAAGGTACTCTATTGGAAGAATTATGCGTAAGGACTTTTGATGCAAATCATATGTGCTGCCGAGAGACTGCAATGACATGTCTGCAATGATAAAAGATCAGGTCGGAAAGGTCAACCACAGGAATGACAAATGGTTATGCAGGGACGCTATAAGGACGCTCCAACGGTCATGCGCACAAAACTTCCGGCAACTTGGATAGTTCTGGGAGTTGGGAGCAACGAGTGAAATGTCATGCATCCTAACGTCTTTCCTCAGTGCTTAAGGGTCACTGCAGCTGACTATAGGGAGGTTTTGGAGGGGCATTATGGGACCCTGGTTAAAGAGCGTGAGTAAAGGAAGACGGTACACCTGCCAACAAGTCTCTGCGTCGTCTTATAAGGCCAAGACAACCTAAGAATTGACGAGTTACGATCTACGCGATCACGTTATGAGCTCTTGACTCTCCGTTGGACTCCTATAGATGAGGCGTAGTCTAGGAGTAGGGGAGTAAATTAACGCCCTCATAACACTATAACGCCTAGTACAATGTCCTAAATAGATAAAGATTGAGACATGTCATCGTTTCAGACATACTATTGAAACAGTCATCGATGCTAATGGCAGATTCTTTAAGGAAATCTATCAAGAAGAATCCCTACATTATTTATGTCCGTTTTTTTACTCAAATAAAGCTCTCATTAATTATGCGCTTTTTACTAAATTCATGCAAATATCCCCAAAGAACTGAGTAACAATACTTTTTCGGATATACTTGAGACGTATTTTTCAAATGAAATATTTCTCAAGAAATCAGTATTTTAAGAGAGATTAAAGATGACTTACGAATAATTAGAGGACTTTTTCGGAGAATCTTGTTCAAAGCTTACGTTTCCAGGGTGATGAACGAAATATTTAAAGCTGGCTTCTGCCCCACCCCATGTTATAAAAACAAATTCAAATAATAGAAAATAACTTTAGGACCGTTCCCTCGCTATTGAATATCACAAGTTGATCAACTCATGATCTACAAAAAGACGGCTGTAATTGCCCCATATTAACCAGGAAGGGAAAAATTCTGAGTCCATTCACGCAATAAAGGACTCTTTATAACTTAACATTCTTCATACAGGCATTAATTTTTTTTTCTTTACTGAGATTGAACAATTTATTCACATACGCACTAAATTCTGCCAGAGAAAAACTGTTAACTGAACTTATGGTATCATATATGCAGAAAATTATCAAACATTCAGGGAAAACAGTTGCAAACATTGTATATAAAATGTGTTAGTTGACTAAAAACATCCATTGCCAATGTTTTTTTATATAAAATCTTTTTCTGCAAGGAGCCTGTTAGATCAGTAGAAGGAAATAAATGTTTATCGCCTGTCGCCTTCATTTTTTTTGCCCAATTCGACTATTGCAGTAAGGGTGAAGTTCATCTTTCACTCATCGATTTCACTCTGTTCAATCCCAGTGACTTACTTTCTACCAGTCGAAGAATATTGTTAGCGGAATAAAACAGAAAAAAATTATAATTCCGCAATAATTTCAAGCCTGCAATTTATAATATTCAGCAAGTAAAAGAATATTCCATGTTTTATAACAAAGATTCTTAATTAGAAATTAAAATCCAACTTTCAGCTTGTTTCAGATTCTAGATTAAATGATTTTAAATAATTTCAATTCATTGTTGCTTTTTTTTTACAGCATTCGATATTATTAAAAATATAGACAACATTCTACATGACGTTGGGAAGAAACATCGAAGTATTAAAATGTATAAACATTTTCTTCTTTGCTAATCAAGCAACTTAAATATTATCTTGAATTTTTGCGCCACAGACCGGTGTCATGCAAGACAATTTTTTTCAAGGAGCGTGGGGTGTCGGAGTCTGTTACACACATAACCAAACACACTAAACAAGACATAAGCGATAGTCAATGAAATAAAAAAAAAAATGTTTGTATTCTTTCTGTGTTGGCCGCTACCAAATGGCCCGCAGCTCGGTTGTTGAGGGGGGGGGGGCTGATATAAAGCATTGTTATCAGTTTGTGACTAGTATTTCTATCCTTAATTTCTACAACCATTAGTTTTGGTAGTTTAGTAGATCAGCTTCTATGAAATGACAGACATTACGAGAGAAAAAATGGAGGAGAGTTCAAGAACTGCCAAAGAGTTTATTTATTCCTGGTCTGCTCTGTTTCCTGAAAGTTACAGAATGATGGTCTGAATAGGTGCAACAAAAAGCAATTGAAACTAAGATGGAAGAAATAGTAATAAAACTAATTAATAATGGGCAATGCTTTATTTGATGACAATAAATTGAGTAATACTAGTATTAAACATGAGTCCACCAAACAATCAGGGTAAAATAAGCAATAACTCTATAGGTTTAGATTTGATAATCTGAAACTATTGATTATTGTAGTTGAAGTAGTAGAACAAGTTATGGTAAAGACCAATTCGCAGAGATTCGGTTTGTTTTGTTTTGTTTTACGGCATATCAACTTCAATGCGTTATTTAATGCCGACAACATTTTTAGGATAGATTCGTATGAATAGAATATGTATTCTTTGGTTTAGATTGGTTTGCTTTATTTTGTTTTACGGCATATCAACCTCAATGGGTTATTTAATGCCGACAAAATTTTTATTGGCGGTAATGTTTGTTTTTTTTTTTTGGTTTTTTTTTTTTTCAAAAATGTATTTCTAGTAATATTTTTTTCTCTCAAAAATCTATTTCTGGTAATATTTTTGAGAGAAAATTATTAATATTTTGTTTGTAATAATTTTCCTTTTAAAAATCCATTGCTGGTAATATTTTTGAGAGAAAATTATTAATATTTTCTTTGTAATAATTTTCCTTTTAAAAATCCATTGCTGGTAATATTTTTGAGAGAAAATTATTAATATTTTCTTTGTAATAATTTTCCTTTTAAAAATCTATTGCTGGTAATATTTTTCCTTCAATTTTGTATTTCCGATAATAATTTTTCCTTCAAAACTATATTGCTGGTAATAAATTTCTCTTCAAAAATGTATTTCTGGTAATAATTTTTACCTCAAAAATGTATTGCTGGTATTAATGCCTATTTTTACACCTCCACAGCGATTTTGCCCCCTGTTTGGGTGGTCGATACCCAAACAGGGGTCAAAAGCTGGGACCCTGACAAGTGCATCCACCCAAGTTTAGGGTGGACCTGGTAACAGCAGCAATTAAGTGGTGGTTCCACGATCCACAAAACAACCTCCTGATCGGAAACCTTGCTTTCAGCTATAGTTTAATTCTTACCCAAGAGGTGGATGTAATTTATCGTCATACCGATGACAAAAATTTACAGAGAGAAAAATGATGAAAATTAGCCTATTTCTAAGAGCTTATTCTTTATTCCTGCTCCATACGGCTACTGTGGAATGAGGATGAACAGAAGTATATTTATTGTTTCTATATTAAAATACTGGGGGGTTTGGGGTGGGGAGTGTGTAACATTCAATTAACCTCCAACACCGAAAGTTCGTAACGTTTCCTCATCACCAAGTGGAAGATGAATTTACTCTAGTCATGATGAATGTTTGTAATCTTGGATGGCGTATCCAGTACATTGCTCAAAATCAATTGCTTGAAAATTAATTTCTCGAACTATCAATTTCTCGAAAGGCAGATTAAACTACATTGTTTCTAATATTTACTAGAAGATAAAAGAATACAACTTTATTGTTGTTAACTGAACAGTTAAAATTAAAGAACGACTACATTTCTATAGCAGGTCTTTTTTTTGCTCGAAACCTGAGGTTAAAAAAAAATAAAACACGTGCTAAGCATTTCCTTTTTTTTTGCACATTTCTCATTTCCAGTAAATCTTATTGTTCACTGTTTTGTCCTTAATATATAGATATATCCATCCAAACACAACTTCTTTCCTTTTTCGCTTTCAACAAAAGTTATGTCCATCACTAGGGTTCGAGATCTCCAAAATTACTGAAATAGAAATAGAAAACAAATATAGAAAAAAAAATCACGACTGGTAACGTTGAATGTTGTGGCTCCTTTGATATCCAGCTCCGTTGACGTGTCGTGAGACGGCGCAGTTTACGTGGTGCTTCAGGCTTCGAAATTATTTCAAGCAATCTGCCTTTCGAGCAATTGATAGTTCGAGAAATTATTTTTCGAGCAATTGATTTCCCATGGAGGGGTACCTACAGGGACTCCAGTCCACCTTAGACCATGAGTGGAACTTGTTTATACGATCCATCGCTAAAGGTCCCATCTTGTTTCAATTCCGAAATTCCTCCTGTCGTGCTCCATATACACAAGAATCAAATGGAGAATCAAAATGGAGTTCTACTACTATATCTCGGCTGGGGTGTCCAGTCCACACTTTCCAGTTCAAAAGAGTCTATGTGGCATTGTGGGCGATGATATATTTTCTACTTTATCACACCTATTCGTCCAAACGGTATGCTGAAAGCCTCTCTCTACTCTATCGCTATTTCCATGGCAAATGTTCAGACAAGCTCCATTACATAGTTCCACCAGTTCAGACCTTTACATCTAAGCCTCTCTCTACTCTATCGCTATTTCCATGGCAAATGTTCAGACGAGCTACATTCCTTAGTTCCACCAGTTCAGACCTTTACATCTAAGCCTCTCTCTAATCTATCGCTATTTCCATGGCAAATGTTCAGATGAGCTACATTCCTTAGTTCCTCCCGTTCAGACCTTTACATCTAAGCCTGTCCCTACTCCATTGCTATTTCCATGGCAAATGTTCAAATGAGCTACATTCCTTAGTTCCACCAGTTCAGACCTTTACATCGAAGCCTCTTTCTACTCTATTGCTATTTCCATGGCAAATGTTCATAAAAGCTACATTCCTTAGTTCCCTCAGTTCAGACCTTTACATCTAAGCCTCTTTCTACTCTATCGCTATTTCCATGGCAAATGTTCATAAAAGCTACATTCCTTAGTTCCCCCAGTTCAGACCTTTTCATCTAAGCCTATCTCTACTCTATCGCTATTTCCATGGCAAATGTTCAGACAAGCTACATTCCTTAGTTCCACCAGTTCAGACCTTCACAGCTAAGCCTCTCTCTACTCTATCGCTATTTCCATGGCAAATGTTCATATGAACAATAACAA